TGATACAAGTTGTTAAACCAGTGCAAGGTAACAGGCTATGACAAGTTAGTGATACAAGTTGTTAAACCAGTGCAAGGTAACAGGCTATGACAAGTTAGTGATACAAGTTGTTAAACCAGTGCAAGGTAACAGGCTATGACAAGTTAGTGATACAAGTTGTTAAACCAGTGCAAGGTAACAGGCTATGAATGTGTGCAGCATAAAGAATGGGTAGAAATTTCTTCTTGTTCATTTTGAGTATGATCAGAATTGATTGTTGTAAAATTTAAATAAACATTAGTTATTCTAAATCAAATGTTGATTGTGTTTATGATGTAAAGTTTGTAAGTTTAGTAACATTAAGATTTGTTTATTCTTGTGACATACTGAACTTGAACATTTTGCTAACATCAAATTCTGCTTGTGTTTGTGACACACTGAGCTCAGATGTTTACCAACATTAAATTTTGTGACACGTTGTGTTTGGATTGGACCACATTTCTGCTTGTCTTTGTGAATTACTGACTGTTAGTTTGATACATGTCAACATTAAACTATGTGGTACAGTGAGCTTCGATTGGACCACTGAGATAAGGCTTGCCTATTGTTAGGTGTAACACTGTCCTGAGATCATAGGCTTGCTTATTGTTGGGTGTAACACCATCCTGATATCATAGGCTTTGCCAACTGTTTGGTGTAACACTGTCCTGAAATCATATGCTTTGCCATCTGTTGGGTGTAACACTATCCTGAGATCGTTTAAAATTTACTCGTGATGGTCCAAAATTATGTGTTCCTAAAATTGTTATTTTCAAAGCTTAACAATGATTACATTTAGATTCAAGATTTATTATATTAAAATTTATCAGTTCAACGAACATGATAACCAAGTGCTGTCTGGTTATATAGCAACACAAAAAAGTTAAATCTTAAATTACAGCTAATTGTTTTTCCATAACTTTTTCGATAATAGCTGTGAATGACTTTGTATGGTAAGTGTTAAAATATTTTTTCAGACATAAATCTCACGTTTATAGTCAGACATATAGTTTTCTGTAAAATATGTCTAGTATATTTCAGACTTGTATATTCTGTGATATGTAATTACAAGTACAATATCTGAAAAATTATATAAGCTTTCAAACCTATGTTAATGAATTTACAGAAGATGTACATTTATAAGCATATTCAGCCAACCACTTACCTAAACCACATTGGTATGTATTCTATCCCCTCTTCTTCTCGTTTCTTTCTACGCTCCCTTTGCGACTGTTCCAGTTGCATCTTTGCGCTCTCTGCAGCCGACACATTACCTTCTTCAAGAAGCCTAGAAAAACGTTTTTTACATACAAGTTTTTAGGCTAGAAAAAAAAGGTTTTCTACACATAATTTGTTTATTATCATGTTTTCTGTACTTACAAAATAAACTTGTAAAACACGTGATCAAGAACTTTGGTTGTAATTTTAACTTGACCATAAATTATCAGGCAGTGGTAGTTTTTCTCACGCATTTAACTCTAAAGAAACATAATTCAAACAAGTGCAAATTGTGTTCAAGAAACATCTATGTCATTGCTAATATTGTATTTTGGTCTCACCAGACTTGAAAAGATTTTCTGTACGCCAGTGACTTTTGACACATGACCTTCATGAGTCAATCAGGTCTATACCTGTGTATGTAGTACTTAGTATATAAATTTAATCAAAATCCATCCATCCAATCTTGAGACGTCCTGTTCAAAAGATTGAGATGGATGGACATACGGGGGCAAATTGATATCCTCTGCTCTGCGAGGCTTTAACTTATGGCATAAAAATGAATTGTGTTAACAAGGTTTAATTAAACATGGTCCACGTACCTCAGTTGCGTGAGATACAGCAATAGAACATTAGAAGACCCCAGCACTAAGATTATCAACTGCTTTTGTTATTATGATCAACACAGCTTACTTTTGATCAGAGGTTCTTAAAAAATCAATAAATGAAACTAATGGAAAAAGTTTTAGTATTTGATCATTTGAAAAATAACAACAACATACATAATAAATCTATTATAATAATACCCAGTTTTTGTCTGTCCTAAAAATACATCGGCACCTTACTATCTAAATGCGCATGCACTTCTCTTCAACGGATGTAAACAAAAAGTAGATGTAAATATAATTTAGTAGATATTCTGTACAACAACATATTAAAAACTTAAAAGTTTTTTAAAAAGTCTAACGTCAGGTAGTATAATAACATCATAAGTTTATTTATTGATAGTATTAAATCTGATAAAGTTTAGCCTTAACTAAATTAAAACAAAAATGTACAAATTACAGTGTTAATTTATCTCTATCAAATATAGGTCATACTTAATAAAGGGTTAACTAGTATTAAGCCCAAGACAAGTGGACTTATAGACTTTGGTGTCTGTGATTAGAATTATTTTGTATTATCTAGAAAATTCCTGTATTTAAAGAAGTAACGTTGCAATAACGATATTAATATGACTGAAAGTGTTTTGCAGGTCTCTATAATACTAAACATATTTTACTTTAGAAGAAGCATAGACCAGAACTAAGTTGACAAGTTAAAAAGCAAAGTCACTATTTCAACATCAAAAATATATTAAGCAATGAATGATACAAAGTCTTTGTTACAATATGAATATAGGTTGTATAAAGAAGTACATTATAAGACAACAAAGTCTTTGTTACAATATGAATATAGGTTGTATAAAAAAGTACATTATCAGACAACAAAGTTTTTGTTACGATATGAATCTATGTTGCATAAAGAAGTACATTATAAAACAACAATATATTTGTTACAAGATGGATAAGGCCATATAATGTAGTGAAGCATTGAAGTTATTTGTTTGTAAGCCCTTTCGTTATTTAATAGATGTTTATGTCATCACAACTATTTTACTTGCTGTTATGATAACAAAATTAATACCCATTTCTACCTGAAAATTATAACTTTCAGCAATACTAATTTTCCTCAGGTGAGTTAGTTAATACTACAAAAATATTTGATGATTCATAAAGTTAGCTCAAGTAAATATCTTTTATATGCTCTTGATCAAAGTTGATCAAGTCATGAGTTGCACTTTAACTTAGAATATTTTACTGAAGTTAGACAAAGTAATAATGTTGAAAAGATGGCTGGCAATGAGATCAGCTGTAACAATTTTATATGCTCTTGATCAAAGTTGATCAAGTCATGAGTTGCACTTTAACTTAGAATATTTTACTGAAGTTAGACAAAGTAATAATGTTGAAAAGATGGCTGGCAACGAGATCAGCTGTAACAATTTTCAATATTTTCACATGAACATAAAGATAAACCCAAGTCTAGGTCCAGAATTCAAGACCTAGGAGGGGGGAAGTAGAATCACAAGTAACAGATCATATAATTACCATTGACAGAGAAACTGGAAATTGTAGGTGTTTTGAAGGTCACTTCCACTGTTCAGAAGACTGTGTGAAGGACACAACATTGTGAAGTTTAGTGCGTAGATCAACTTGACCATGAAGAAGATAATGTATGCAGTGACAGTCTCTTTAAGTATGATTATTTTGGATTAAGTACGACTTTGTGCAATTATCGTATCATCACATCAAACCACACAATTATGTGCATTGCACTAAATTTCACAACAACATGTCTATCAATAACATGAATACCATTTTCAGAACAGCGGAAGTGACGTTTTGATCTACTTGAATGACTACAGTAGTGTATAATTTTGTGCATTAATGAGGAAAACTTCCTGGCTTACCTTTGGTCAGGTCTAAACCTGGTGTCCGTAGGTGGAAGAAAATTTGCAATGTCAGAGTCCAGTTCATTAAGCTCAATTGCAAACTGAGTAAACCCATAATATAATTCATAATCTTCCGGCATGGCCCCTGGAGTGAAAAAAGAGAAAACTTGACATTTCCTAGCATCATCTGCTGTATAAAACATAAATCTTTATGAGTGTAAACAATCAGAACTGGAATTGTAAAAATCTAGTATTTTAAAAATAAGTGGTTTAAAGAAATCTCTGACTTCTCTGTCATTGTTAACATGTGCATTCAAAAACGTTTAAAAATAATTTTATTTATCTCTTGATAAATGTATTCACCATCTTTAGCTGAATTTAATAACCCACTATAGCTAAGGCAGTTTTAAAATAAAATTTAACAAATATGTTGTTACAATTAGTATTATTATGGTGTGAACACCTTTTACAAACTGATTACAATTATATTTACCATAAGTCATTAGTATTAGGCTTATTACATTTTTAAACACAACACTCTTAATCTCATCCCTTAAGGATTTGAAAGAATTAGAAGAGTGTATAATAATATTCAAATCACACTCTGGATTGAGTGAAATTCATCATTGGCAATGGATGAGACAGATCTGTCTAATGTCTTATGACAAGTATAATTGTAATTCAGTACTATTTGCTGCTGAAAAAAAAAAATTAATTACATACTTCTCTATTGAACATCAATATTGCATATGTTAAAAGTGAAATGCTGAAAAATATTAAGGTAATTACTTTATTGATCTGTTACCATAAAAAACAGAAGTATGATTCATCAGCTTTGGTATTATACACCATAAAAATTAACAGTTAAATGTATCATGTTTACCATGTGTTTAGGTTTCAAATGCATAATATTGTTGGAACATGCACAGTTGTTACTCACCTGGCCTCCATATACAGCGGACGTTTGGAGGGGAGCCACAGTAAAATGCTTCTGTCCACCGGCCAAACAACTTGTGAACAACATTTCCAAATCTGTCTGTAACTGATCCGTGTATTTCATGTCGTTTACTTGACCAATAACTAGCCTGTGAGGAGCAGAAAGAAAATTCCTCAATGCAAAAATGTATTATTTCTTAAAATGTCAAGGCCCTGTATTTAATGCTGTGTCATGACATTAGGATCACATGCTAAATGTTGTCTCATTTGAAACTGTAGGTCCTTTGTAAAATACTGTATCAATTGTTAAGAGTTACACACGGCACTTTTTGCTTCTTTATCTTTATTCTCCGAGAAATAATTCACATTTCTGTAACCAAAAAAGAAAGAGGACAAAATGGAGTCTGAATTTCACAAGCCTACCTGAAATAAAGGCTGAGGTTTATGACACTTGAGATGCAATGGCTTAGTTTTTTTCCTCATTTGAAAACTATTATCGCAATTTGTATAATTTATCTTTTCGATTTGTTGAAGTTGTAAAATTAAATAATGCAAGGTATCCACCTTGGATGACAATGACATTATTATGTAAAATGAAAAGAAAACAAAGACTTTATTGTTGGTTTAAACAAACAGGTAATATCTATACCAAAAATAAATATTTGGAGCTTAAGATGCTTGTTCAGCATCTAGTGTCTGACCATAAGGCCAAATATTTTAATAGATGTTTTCAAAATGAGGAATCTCGTGAGATATGGCGAACTATCAACAACAAACTAGGTATGAATAAAGAAAGTAAAGGAAAATTCTAACGAATCTGTAATAAGGCAGATTATCTTGTTACAGATCCTAAAAGTACTGTCAACAGTTTTAACAATTATTTTACTATCCAACCTTAGATGGGATAAACAAATAGAAATTACTTCCAAAAAACTTACTAGAATAGTATATATATCATGACATGGTGCAAGAAAGTGTTTCCACTTCAAGCACTTTATAAAATTTACTACGCCATCTTTTATAGTCAAATGTCTTATTGTGTGAGGTACAAATTTCTATGCATTTAGACCAATCTGGTTATTACAAAACAGTCTTAAGACAAATGATTGGTCTTTCATATAGAGCGTCTGTGACTAACAAATTTAAAGAATATGGAGTTTTAACTATTTATGAAGCCCGTGTTTACTGATTCATTTGTATTGCAAAGGATACTAAAATATTTAATCCTGATATGAACTTGTTAACTCCCTCTGGTGAAAGTTTATATTCCTTTCGGCAAAAAAAACTCTACATACATCCATGAAGTAATTCCGTTTTGAGCTCCAAGTACTTTTATAACTTGGCTCCACTTATTCTAAATTGAATTCCAGTAGATTATTGGTTAATTCCCAGTACAAAGCTATTTAAAATAAAAATATCCAATTATGTATATTCTATGGATAATTATTGTGTATAGCTGTTTTTGTAATTTTTGTTTGTTTTTCTGTAGTTACTTATCCATTATGGCAGTAACTTTATGAATTAATATTAAAAATTTAAAAATTATCGAAACGACTGACAGAGTTGCAGGTTTAAGTCCCACCCAGTCTCAATTTACTATCCCAATAAATTAAAAAACACAGAAAAATAAGGCAATGAATGATTCTTTACCTACTTTCACATTAAAATTAATGGCTTGTTTAAGAGATAATTTCACATAAAAGTGGAAAGTAAATCCTGAAAAATTAAAATTCCCAAACAACATTTACATTTATAGTTTAATGATACTGTACTATAACGCAAGTTTTTATATGTTAAAAAAGGTCTTGAGACTTGTTACACAGGCAGCTGGTGACCTTCTTGAAAGGTCAGGCACGTGCTGTACGTGGGTACATTTTAACTAATTGAAATCAATGAATGTCACATCCCATAGCTTCTCATCTTTGCAGAAACCGTTTCTCACTTCATCGTTACGCACTATAGTTTACCTAACCAAGCTCACCTGTTGATACAGCAATGGGCCATTCTAACATGCTCTGTGTTCTTTGGTGTTTCCTTACATACAAATAGTAAGTTATAATGGAAGCTTTAGTAGCAATTAATTAATGTTTTATTACACTCTCTTATATTATTACACTTTAAAAATAATGATAAAAGAAGTGTGGTTTTGGGATTTAGATTAGGGATGTGGAATTTTTCATGAGGCAGTGCCTCACCATATCAGCTGCCACTACTTTTGTAACTACAGTACAGACACTATTGTACTTAGGTTAGCTTAAAAACTCAACAAACAGCAAACTTTTTGAGAAGAACTTAATTTTACCTTGACAAACGTCAGTTTACACGAAGCCTCCCCAGTACTGTCACTGATTATCAGCTCTCCATACTGGTCAACCCACCGCTGTCCACTGAAGAGGTTATGCACACAAGTGGTCACTTTGTTCCAGCTATAATGGTTGTTCCTCCTGTGCACAACACAAGTTACTAGAATTAGTTGAAATGATAAAATTATTTCATGCACTTAGGGTAAACAGTGTTTGTAAAGTACACATGCTGCATAAACTTTCAATGTAAGTTATATATATTCACTGATATCTGACAAAATATCACATTCAATGGTTTAGTATTTAACACTGCTAATTGTTTCTATATGCTTCCAAAGATCATTTCTAACGTACAGAACATGGTTTAGTATTTAACACTGCTAATTGTTTCTATATGCTTCCAAAGCTCCTTTCTAACGTACAGAACATGGTTTAGTATTGAACACTGCTAATTGTTTCTATATGCTGCCAAAGCTCCTTTCTAACGTACAGAACATGGTTTAGTATTGAACACTGCTAATTGTTTCTA